GGAGAGGGAGGCCGGGGCTCGGCAGGGCGGGCGAACCACCTGGACTCCCTACACTGAAGTGCGTGCCCGCTCAAGGAGCGCACATGGTCTCGGGTCCGACCCAGTGAGGACGGCCTCCAGCTGTAAACCCTTCTCCTTCTAATTGGCCCTGACTGGGGTGGCTCTCCATCCCGCCTCAACTGCCCTCCCGCGAAGCGTCTCCCTCGTCTGTCCCCTCATCCTGCAGCTCCCAGTTCGGTCCCTCTCGCTGGACACTGGCTTCTTCCAGAAGCCTTAGAGGGCGAGCGCCACCTGGCGGGAGTGACGAGTGGGGCGCCCAGATGGTGGTGTCCAGCATCACCCGCCCCTGGCCTTCCAGAGCAGATGCCAGTGTAACTGAATTGTCAGGACCAGAGGATCCACTGCCTGAGTGGATCTGGCATAAGGTCAGGGTCGATGCATCAGGGGAAACAGTGCCCGCCTGAGTTTTGAGGTGCCAACACACTGGGAAAATCTTGAGGTGTGCTGGGACACTGGCCAAGCTACCAGGCCTTACACAGGGAGATTCTGCTGGAAAGTGCAGCTGGTGTCAGGAGACCAGTGGCAGAGACCTGGGGTGGGGGCACAGTCCACTCCTACCCCCTCCCAGGCTGGCTAGTGATGGGACTATCAATGGGGTGCTATGCCCACTGCAGGACCTATGTTCCCTTTTTTCCTTCTCTCAGGGAACATGGACGCTTGGCACCCAGAAAAGGAACTACAGCCACGTCCAACCCAAGTTCTAAGTGCCAACACCTCTTTACCCTCGTCCACTCATCCATTACCCTCTCCACTGTCTGGACTCCCTCCATAGGTCGGGCTCTGGTACCACAGGGCCAAAGCTCCGCACTTTCCACAGCATTTCTAGGTCACACATCCCTCACCAGGCACTATGACCTCTGAAAGTCCACAGAGACTTCCTTGCCAGAGGATAGCATGCTTCTACCCATCCAAACATGCAACATGTCCCTTCTGGGCTTCCTGGCCAGTGAGTCCTGACTCCTCCTCTGTTTTCCACATTCTCCCTGGTCGCCAGGCGACCCACTCCACTCTGCAGGGATCACACATGCCTAGAGACAGCCGGGGTTCCCTCGGTGAACAGCATTCTTCTGCTTCCCAACTCTTCACTCCCATAGCCAAGGACAGTATGTGGGTCTGCACCCCAGTCCCACATTAAAGGGGGCAGAGGCTTGGCTCAAAGGGGCCAGTTAACACCAGAGATATCTCAGGATGCTGGGCTAGATCAGGGGACACCCAGGTGGCCACTGGCAGTCTCTAGGCATGCCTTGGAGCCTCTCTTCATGATGAAAGGTGGTATCGGATTATTCCATCAAGGGGGCTAACTCCCTTCCTGAGCTGAAAACTGGGACCTGGGGAGGAGTGGGGGGAGGCGTGGAAGAAGTAGATGGTTCCAGGATACATGGGTCCAACTATACCTGACACTCTGCCATTTCTGCCCAGAGCCAAGTGTGTGTGGTCAGTCCAGTGACAAGCAGGTGCAGCAAAGGATGCATATCCACCACAAATGCTGTAGAAAATCTTTTGGGAATATTTCATTTCCCATCTAAAGACAAACATTTCCCAGCACCTCATCTAGCAGAGAGAAGTTGAGTACAACCCATAGCAACCCTGTGCACAACAGCTCTGAAGCCTGCCCTGTCCTGAGCCAGTCTCATTGACTCTGACATACCTACCCCCACAGCTCCAGTTACTGTCTCAATCCATCCCATATGGGGTCCTCTTCTGTGCTGTCCCTCCACCCTTCTGAGCATGATGTCCTTCACCAAGGATAGATCCCTCCTGGCCACATGCCCAAAGTATATGAGATGCAGCTTCAAAACCCTAGCCTCCAAGGAGAAACCTGGTTTCACCCTCTCCAGAAAAGACCTCTTTGTTATCTTAGTGATCCATGGTATGCTCAGTACTCTTCTCCAGCAACAAAATTCAAAGACATCAATTCTGTCATCCTTAGTCACTGTCCAGCTCCATGATGCACAGCAAGTAATTGAAAAGACCATGGCCTGGATCAGGTGCACCTTAGTCTCTAGACTGACATCAATGCTTCTCAGCACTCTGGAAACGTCCCTGAGCAGATTTACCTAATGCAATTTGTCTTTTGACTTCCTGACTGCTGATGCCAAGAGTGCTAATTGTGGAGCCTAGCAAGCTGTAACTGTTAACAACCTCAATCTCTTCTCCATCCATCAAACAGGACCTGAGGGCCTGAACTGCCAGCACCAAGGAGTGGTGGGAGGTGGAGAGAGGGGCCAGGAGAGGGCCACTTGCATGACCACCTCCCTCCTTCCCATGGGCACAAGCAGGAGCCAAGTCCAACGTTGTGTGACTGGTGTGTGACCATCCGTTCTCAATCTTCCCCTAGGCTTCCTCCCTAGACCTCAGACCACACAAAAACAACACATGGATTTGGCTTCCTTCTTCTATTCAACAGGGTTTATTGAGGGCCTACCCCCGAGCTGAACACTAAGTCACATACATCCATGCAGGCTCAGGGGAAGAGGAGCAGTCGAGCACCCCTTTTGGCCAAGGCAGGAACCTGTCCTACAGAGCTAGCTCCCTTACACACGCATCCCACCACCCTGCTCTCCTGAAGCACTTAATTGCTCTAAACTACTGGAGGATGGCTCTGAGGTGGATGAAGCTAGAAGGAGAGGGGGCTGTAGGGCAAACCTTGGAATGACAAGATCTCAGAGGTTCTGAGACCCCTTAAGAGACCTATGAACTCCTGGGGCCCCCACTTCCTCCCAAGTCCCACGTAAAAATGGCAGAATGGCCAGATCCCCCCTTTACAAGGTCTCTAACTTCCACGCCCTAACTCCTCCCTCTGCTTTCCTGGCAGACAGAGATGAGCTTTTGGACAGTCCTCCGGGCAACTAGAGGTGAGGCAGGAAGGTCCCATACACACCCCTAAAGCCAAGGGAAGGTCCTGGGGGCATGGACAGCAAAAGCAGCTGGTAAAAAGGCAGCAGGGAGTGGGGAGAGTGTGGCTGGAACTCATCCATTACTGCGGTCCCACAGTCACAGACCCAGGAGGCTCTCCCAAGTGGGTGTCCTCACAGAAAGGCATAGCACTGCCCCATGTCCAGGACACCCTGCCTCGTTCCCAGTCCAGGTAGAACACAGGATGGAGAGGGTTGGAGGAAAGGCACATGAGGGGGAGGGGCGATGGCTTGGTCTGGTTCTTTAGAGGATCTTCAAGACAGGGTCCAGTCCAGGGCAGACCCCAGGACATTACAGCCACACAGCCCTGGGGAGGCCACAGAGAGCCTGGAAGAAGCCTATGTGGCTGACAAGGCCACTAGGCACTCAGGCGGGCTGGACCTCTGATGGCCACCCATGACAAGAGGCCCACACCTCAGTCAGACCAGGCAGTAAGATAGGGAGGTGGGCATGGTGGATGGTGGAGAGGAAGGGGCTAGTGGGAATGGCCATTGATGAGGGATAGGCCCCCTCCCCGCCCCGCCTTGCTCACCGAGCTGCTGCAATGGGTGACTTCTTGGCAGGGTCCAGCAGGCCACCCAGGCCACCAACCGGCTCCTCTCCCAGGGAGCGTGTGTCTTTGTTGAGCTGCTGCAGGCGGGAGCTGAGCTCGCTGATCACAGTCGGCTTGCCGTCTTCAGGCCCAGGGAGCCCCCGGCTCTCCACGGGGTCCCCCCACAGCTTGGACCTTCTCTGGAAGAGGTAGCGAGGGCGGGCGGGCCCGGCGGCAGAGGCCAGCCCAGCGGAGGCGGCATGGTGCTGCTGGGCCATGAGCTCACTGTCAGAGGACTGCTTCAGCAGCGGGTCCCTGAAGGTCACCGGCCCCTTCCCCAGCGGGGACTTGAGCTTGGGCTTGGGAGGCACTGGTGGCTTCTCGAGTAGAAAAGTGTGTCCGTCGGCGAAGGAAGTGTGGGTGTCGGTGAGCTCCCCACTCTCTGAGCTCAGGGTGGACATACTGGACACGGTGGAGATGGTGCTAGTGGTCTCCAGGTGGGGGTCACTGGAGCTGCGAGTGTCGGCCTCCTCCACACCAGAGTCTGCTGCAGACTCAGGGGCAGGGGGCGGCTCGCTACCCGGCTTCCCTGAGGCCGGGCCTGGCCCCAAGGTGGGTGAAGGGCCTGGGCCAGGGAGTGGAGTGGCCAGTAGGATCCCATTTGCAAACTCTTCAGGAGGTGGCACCAGGCCAATTCTCGCAAGCTCCTCCCGGGTCTCCTCGTCACTGGAGGACAGCTGGGCTGGGGGCAGGTTCACAGCGAATGCCAGCTCAGGCTCCTCTTCTGAGCTGCCCTGGCCGGGCCCAGGGTCCACCGGGGTGCTGCTGGGAGGTGGGGCCCGCGGGCTGGGCAGGGGCTCTGCCACCGCGGCTGCTGACTGCATGGGGGCCGGGGCCAGCTCGGGAGTGCCCGGGCGCTCCTCTTCGGCCCCCAGCTCGCCAGGCTCCTGCCCATTGCTGGTGGCGTGCACAACAATGAGACCAGCTGGACGCTGCAGGGATGTGTCCAGAACACTGAGAATCATGGACTTCTTATCATCTGGGGACTTCCGCTCCTCTCGCGGTGCCTTCTCAGGCTCCCTGCGTGCCGGAACGGGAACCCAGGCCGGGCTCCTCGGGGAGAAGACTGGTGAAGCCAAGACCCCACGGTCTGAGTCCCGAGTCTGGACGTCCACAAACAGGGGTCCAGGGCGGTCGGCATCGGGGCTGTGCACAGGAGTAGGGGACCGGGATGGTGCCTGGGAGGCCAGAGCCCGCTCGCGGGCAGCCAAGGCAAGAGCCAAGGGTGAGCTAGGGTCCAGCGGCTTGCCTGTGAGCGGGTGGATGAAGGTGGACCCCGAAGGCCCGAGGCTGGGGCTGCTGCCCAATGGTTTCAGCGCAGACACAGGGGAGGGTAGCAGCAGGTCACGGCTGGGTACAGGGCCGACTCCCAGGATGCGCTCATCGATGGAGCGAGACGGCTGCAGGGAGGGCATGTCGGCGCTGGGGGAGCTGCCCTCGATGGCACCCACCGACAGGAACACAGTAGAGCGGCGCCGTTCCTCAAGCCTCCGGTCCTTGGCTGGACCTGGGCCGCTAAACGCCAGGCCAGGGCCCTCGCCAGGACTGTAGTCCAGACCACCCGGCCGAGGCCCACGGTGCGTTGGGGAGGGATCCCGCGCAAAGCTACCCGAGCCGGGGCCGCCGGTGCCGCTGAACGCCAGCGCTGCACGCTCCTGGGCGTCCTCCACTTGCAGCTGCTTCACCAACGGGCTTTTGCGGCGCTGTGGCTTGGATGGTGCAAAGAGGCTGGCGCTGAAGGCTCCCAGGTTGGCATAGGGGCTGTCGGGGCCTGGTGCCCGTGGGCGGCGCTTCAGGCGGTCAGGTGGTGTGGCAGCTGGAGGGGGTCGGGCACTGTCGGTGGCCTCGGGTGCCGAGTCCTGCAAGATTATCATGGAGCGTGCGCGCTTCTGCCGCTCTGGGTAGGGCAGAGGGCTCAGAGGTGCGCCTGGCTCATACAAGCCGGCAGCGCCCGAGCCCAGGCGCGCCTCCAGACCTGGCTTGAAGCTGGAGCGCACAGTGTCGTAGGCGCGGCCTGGTGGCGGTGGTGGTGGCGAGAAGGCAGGAGGTGGGCCCGAGTCATAGTAGTAGGGGCCAGGTGGGGGTGGTGGCGCAGTCTGCGGTGGCGGTGGGATACCGCGGCCCTCGCGACCCGTGTCCTGCATGGAGGAGCTGCGCGGGAAGCGCCCCTCCAGCAGGGACGCCAGCTTCTCATCCTCCCCTGCAGACAGACACCCAAGCACCTGTAAGGTCAGCAAGGCACCTCGAACCTGTGCTAAGCCCCCGGCACCCAGGCTGCATGCCCCAGCAGTGCAGGAACGCCTGGTGGGAGGAAACATGGCCGCTAGGACAGGGACCATGAATGGGCAGGATGGGGAGGCAAGACAGCCGCTGGATACGGAACCAGAACTTTCAGGTGAGGCCTGAGCTTGGCCGCTGGCAGGATTCCCAACACAGGCTGAGAACTGGCAGTGGCCCAGGTGAGGGGGTGCCCTGCAGGGTGAGCTGTCCAGAGGCTCTACTTTCAGATGTCCACGTGGGTGGGGCTAGGAGGAGCTGCTCACCAGTAAGTGGTACAGGCACAGCTTTGCAAAGGCCAAAACTAGCACTAGACTGGGGAACCAAAAGCACATTCTAGAATGCATCACTGGACAAGGGATGCTTGAACACAGGCAGCCAACGTGACCATTAGGAACCATGCCAGGGTCACCACCAGGTACCACACTTTCATCAGGCGATGACAGAGCCTGTATCCCTCAAAGGCAGAGACATGGCTGGAGTCCAGGATGGGGAGGGGGGGTGACCAGATGGAAGAAGGTGAGGCAGGAGGCTGACCACCAGATTCAGGTCAGTCTTACCTACTACTGGCCCAGTAACTCCCTCTGAGCCTCAGCTCCCCCAGGGGCAGCTTACAAACAGCCCACCTCACACTTCACTCAGGCATGGCATGAGGTTGAGGACCAGGCAGCTGGTTCCCAGAGCCTTTGGGAGGTCCCTGGGAGAAGGGACAAGATGTCTAATTTGTGTGTAAGCCTGGGTTTGAATCTCAGCCCACAGGCCCTGGTCACACCTTAGAATACCTTGAAACTGTGGTTCCTTCACCTTGAGGGAGGCCGTCCATCCCTTTGTGGGATCTCTCACACAAAGACCCTCCCTTCCTCCAGCATGGACACTGACCAAGTAGCAAAGAGGCTGGGCAGCTGCCAGCATGGGGTTTCAAAAACTGACTGGACCTCCTGTCAACTGCCCCAGGGCCACTGGGCTATCCTCCACTGGACGAGTCTAAAGAAACTCACAGCCTGGGCTATATAGGTGGAGTGTATCCAGGGGCCCAGAGGCTGGGGACATGCAGAAATAGGAAGTGACAGGCCATGTGTAAAGACTGGGCAGGGACCTTTCCACGTGAGGAGAGGCAGCAGATGCAGGACCCTCGTCTGCTGGTAATGTCATATCACACACACCTGGCACTGAACAAAGGTCATGAGGGCCCCTGAGAGACCCAGAAGCAGGACTCTCACATTTAGGGGTCTGAACCCTGAGGCTCCAAGAGGCACTCCGTGTGCCCAGGCAACAAGTGGGCTTGGGAAGTAATGCTGACCAGTGCTTGTGGGACAGCAGGGCAGTGAGCTCCCTACAGGGACACATGTCGCCTGCAGGAAAGCCTCAAGCCACTTCATACCCTCAGAGCCTCCTGCTCGTTCACTGACCTTGTGTCCCTCAAGCCCCATGTGTCCTGAGCCCCAGCTGTGGCTGGAGCCCTGGTCAACCCCCACAGCACCTGAGCAGGCCTCCTCCCGGGACCATGTGTACACCTCCCCAGGTGAGTCATGCGGGTGTGGAAGCTGGGCTTGGGGGACCTGAGCCAGAGTAATATCAGGTGGGCGAGGGGATGTCCAGTAGTAACTGGGCAAAAGACAGGTCAGGCTGCTGTGAGGCTGTGATGGGACTCAACCTTTCCACCTGTTCCCTCACCTGTAAGACAAGAGGAACTTCTTTGAACAGGGTAAGTGTAAGCACTTACCGACAAGTGGAGGGGGGGAGCACACTGGATGAGTGAGTAGGGCAAGGTCAGGAAAAAAGCTACCTGGGTGTCAGGGGCACAGCTGGAAGAAGCTAAGAACAAGGCCTGTGACATACCAGACTTGGAGAAACACTGAGATGGGAGGGAGGAGGGGACAGTCCCATAGGAGGCACGTGGAGGGGGTCAAGTGCTGCAGTGTGGCCAGAGGCAGTGTGGTGTGGACAGCACCAGCCATCAGGGCCAAGGGTGGGAAGGGGCAGGGCCTGTACGTAACATGTGTGGGGTGTATTCTCGAGGTGGGTATAAGGGGAGGGCAGGAGCTGAACGTCGGTTAGAGAGGGAGGCAGATTGCAGGAAGAGTATTTTTAGGATCAGAGACTCAGCATGCACTTTGCTGATGTGGAGCAACAAGGAAATGAAGCCACAGACTTGAAAGAAGGGGCGCTAGTATCCTTGGGGGTCGGGGCATGGAGACAGCAGTGCTGACAGGTCGGGGCAGTGGATGGAGGTGGCCTAGTGGACAGGAGGCTGTGAATGGAGGGGTATCAGTGGACAGGGGGTGATGGATAGAAAAGAATAAGTTGGGGGGAAGAATAAGTGGACGGGGCGGGTCCAGTGGATGAAGGGGAAATCAGTGGATGGAGGTGACCCAGTGGACAGGGGCCAGTGGGCAACAATAGTGAACACCTTGAGCATCTTCCAGCCACCTAGCTGAGACAGGGGGAGGACTGATCTCACATATGACCCACAAACACACACAAAGTCCCTGGGTGGGTGCCAGGAGAGGAGAAAGGATCTGGATAAAATCTGGAGACCTCAATCAGACAGTGGGACCAAGACAAAAAAGCTATAAGATCAGATGATAGAGCCAGGGACAACCCGAGAGGCAGGTCTCCCGCAGCCCCAAATCTCACTCCAATCCCTACAACCAGCCTGGCACCCTGCCCCCACACCCAACATCCAGCCTGGTCCCCTGCCCACCCTGGCCCCACACCCCACGTCCAGCCTGGCGCCCTGCCCCATGTCCACCATGGCCATCTGCCCCACATCCAGCCTGGTCCCCTGTCCCATGTCCAGCCTGTTTCCAGCCTGACATCCAGTCTAGCCTCTTGCCTCATGTCCAGCCTATCACCAGCCCTATGTCCAGCCTGGCTCCTTGACTCACGTCCAGCCTCATCCCAGCCCCATGTCCATCCTGTCTCCAGCCCCACATCTAGCCTGGCCCCTTGCCTTACATCCAGCTTCACTCTGGGTCTAACCTGGCCCTCCACTTCATGTTAAATCCCAGTCCCTCACCTCCCCAAACCATGTCCAATGGCCCCCCACCCTGGGCCCTGGCCTCTGCTCCACATCAAGCCTGGCCCCCACTCCATGTCTAGTGGTATCCACCCATGTCCAGTGGCCTTACCTACAGATTTGGTCCGCGGAAGCCCCTTACGCAGTGAGCCAGGCAGCTTCTCTGGGCCTGGGAGGCCCTGGCGTTCAAACAGTGACTGTGGAGTTAGGTTGACATGGAGGTTTGGGGCCCAAGTGCTTCTTCAGGCCCTGCCCACCCCTCTGAGTCTAAAACCAGACACCCCAGATGCTGAATCCAAAGGCACCTGAATACAGGAATCAGATCTAGGTCAGCTTTAGCCGACATGGGTGGATGAAGTGTGGAAGACAGTGAAGCAGAGGACAGCAGGGAATGGGGGACAGAGGGACGTGGGGACAGCAAGGCGTGGGGATAGAGGGATGTGGCGGGCAGCCGGGCATGGGGACAGTGGGAGCAGAGGGGCATGAGGGTCAATGAAGCACGAGGATGGTGGGATGTACGGGGACAGCCAAGCATGGGAGGCAGAGGGACGTGAGGGACAATGAGGCAGGAGAATAGCGGGATGTGGGGGGACACAGGGGCATGAGGGTCAGAGGGACATGGGCACAGTGGGATGTGGGGGGCAGAGTGACATGGGAACAGCAGGGTGTGGGGACAGTGGGGTGTGGGGGTAGGGGGCATGGGGAAATGAGGCAAGAGGACAGTGGGATGTGGGGGGGACTGTGGGGCATGGGGGGCAGAGGGACGTGGGGACAGCAGGGTGTGGGGGGACAGCTGGACGTGGGGACAGTGGAGCATAGGGGTCAAAGGGGCACGGGGACAGCAGGCCATTGGGGGCAGAGGGGAGTGGAGACAAGGGGAAATGGCAATAGTGGGACATGGGAACAGTGGGGCGTGGGGGCAGAGGGGTGTGGGGTCAGTGGAGGGTGGACCTGAGAGGTTTGGGGACAGGGGAGGGTGGGGGACAGAGGGGTGTGGGGACAGCAGAGGGTGCGGGACAGAGGGGTTTGGGGACAGAGGGGTATGGGGAACAGAGGGATGTGGGGACAGAGGGGTGTGGGGACAGATGACTGTGGTCCCAGACCTCCAGGGCAGGAAGGGTCAGGAGTAAAAGCCAATGTGAAATGTGTTGGCCTCATCTGGGGAAACCAGGGGATGTCCTCCCCTCCCAAGTGTAGTCAAAGCAATGGACCTTCATCCTCTGCAAAGAGGCCAACATCCAGGAAGGACACAAGTGCATGGATTTCCCAGTGCCCTACATGCTGGGCAAACAGCAAGGGCCGTCACATGGGCCAGCCTCCAGGGCACCCAGGGAAGGCCCACCCAGACTCAATGCACTCAACCACCCACCTGCACCATGTGCAGGGTATGGGGGCCCGCAGCCTCCCATTGCCGTCACCAGCAGGACCCACAGACCCAAACATGCCCTGCCCAGCCACACTCACATTGATCTCGGCTGGTGTGATCCTTCGGCTCGTGGGCCTCTGCTTGACGGTGGCCGCACGCGAGTCCGCGTCCGCAATGTCCGGCCTCAGGGTGGGCTCTGTAGCCGCTGCCAGGATCTCATCCAGCTTCTCTGCATGATCAAGGATACTCAGGTCAGCACCTGACTCGGGCTCTGTCCACTGCCTCAGCACCTCCCTGCTGCCTAAGGCTTGTCACTCCCTTCAGAGGCCCACTGCCTGGACCTCCTGACCCACTGGCCACGTCCTTGCTCTCAGGTGACACCAGGAATGAGACCAGGGTGGGAAGGGCCTGTGGAGCCTACACCTTGTTTTCCTTTTCTAACTGCTCTGCACCATCAGCCCTGCTCTGGGAGGTGACCTGCTGTGTGCTGAGCAGACAGGTAGATGGGGAACAGAACCCCATCCCTGGAAGGTTATGGTCTAAACGGTTTTTGTGAAAACAGGGACCAGTTCTCCTAGGGGGCCACAGAGAGAGCTGGAAATGAGGCCATGCTGGAAAGTCACCTGAAAGTGACCAAGGTAGGAGTAACTGGACAGGGACAGCTTTGTATGCACTTACTAATGAACAGCTGAAATTGGTGGTTTAAAAGGCATCGGGATTGGCCACCAAAACAAGCAGCAATGTTACTACACTACACATGACTTGAGAATGTTCTCGGGCCCCTGGTAAATGATGCCCCTGGGGATGGGATGGTCATCAGGGCTGAGAGCTCACTCAGCTCCACTTCAGCTGCTCAGGAGCAAATGGGTGGTGGGTCTGCAGTCACACACCCACTTCAGGAGCCCTGACTCACTCTGAGGCCTGTCCACGCTCCAAATGGACTCATCTCCCACTCAGGCCAGTGCGAAGACCACAGGCATCTGTGGCCAGTCCAGACCATTCTGCTTCTCCTCCTAATCTGGACTGTGGGTTACATGGTCCACTGCTTCTCCTCTAACCCTCACTGGGCTGTAGGACCACTACGTCTTCTCTAAGCCGGGCAGTGGGCCCACAAGCTCCTCTGCACCCCAGACCTGCCTGTGCCCTGCTGACACTTCTTGACCCCCCCACCCCACCTCACAGCCCATCCATCTGCACTCTAGTACACACAACCTCTCAGCCCACAGTCCATCACCAGTGCTCTGCCCCTACCCCCTGTGTGTTCCTCCCCCAAGCTGCCTGCATCCTGGTGCACATACACTGCCTAGTGGCCCACTGTCCTGCACCCTGGCACTCATGCTCATGGGTGTACACACACACATACTCTGCCTTGCAGCCCACCTGTGCGCTCTGCTTAACCCCCCCCCTCCCACCCCCCCATGCCACACCCCACCTGGCCTGCCTGCACCTTGGCTGATCAAAGCAGACCTCACATACTCATGTCCTCACTGATGGCATCAGAATGGCTCTGCCTGTGGGGCCGTTGAGGTGGCAGACACACTGACGGCACCTAGAGCTCACACTTCAGGCCACACACATACTGTCCATGCTCACACTCCGCACCCAGCCTGTGCTGGGTGGATCAGGGGCAAGCTTGGAGACGGCTCATGTGTGAATTCTCTCCTTTTGTCCTCAGTTACACATCTGAAGATGAGGCCGTGGATGCTAAGAGGGAGAAATGGGCCTAGTCCACAGGCTCAGAAGGAAATGAAGGATTCAGCCACGTTAAGCCACAGGGCTGCGACTCCAGGGGCCAACGAACTGGGGACACAGACCCTGAAGTGGGAGGGGGCGTCCAGCCATTGGGGGGCTAGGACTACACAAAAGAAGGAACGAAGATCCTGCACTGTCCTCAGACTACAAACCAGTTATTAGTAACATGGACGTGAATGATCTCAAAGATCAGGGGCCCGGTCTGGGCAGCGGGGCATTGGGACTCATCCAGCCTCACTCCATTGCCACTAGGAGTTTCTAAACAATCAGGCCCAAATACGGTCATTGCCACTGCCCCTGTCAGGCACCACAAAGCACACAAGGTATCCTGGAAAGCTGAAGGATGGTGCCCAGAATTTTCCAGAAGTAGCCTAGGTCTGTCCCAGCAGGAGAGACCTTAGCAGCCCTTTAATACTGAAGACACAGAGACAACTCCACTAACTCCTATGTAGTAAACAGTGAAAGGGCTGCTGTGGCTGGGACCTAAGGTCACCCCACACCTTTCTGTGTCCTCTGCAGCCAGGCAGGACATGCAGGGAGGAAAGTCAGAGCAGCCAGAGGTTAGGTCTGAAGGTCAGGGAGCTCTCAGCACTGGGCCAGCCAGATGCAGAGAACTTTTGGAGACAAAAGAACCAGCAAGGTGAACTGATATCACCCCAGCACTGTCCACATGACCCATTACTGCTTTCTACACACTCGAAGGTTCAGTCCTCACAGTAAAGGGGTAACTTTCACACAGCTTTCCTCCCAAGGTCTTCTAACTCCCACCCAATGACTGACACTATGCAAGCAAGGTCTTTGTGACACACCAAGCAGACTAGAGAGCTTGTTAATAGAAATATGGTGCAAGTGCCACTGTGGAGGCAGGGCTGCACTAGAAAGGCATAAAGAAGAGGACTGGCTGGTTTTGTCATCCTCCTGGGATTGAAACGCACCATCCCTCTGGCAGAAAGGAGGCACCTCACTACCAAGAAATAGGAGTGGAGTGTGCCCATCAAACCCAGGATCCCTGCACTAAGAACATCCTAGAACCAGGAAATGAGAGACAGCACTGAGACAGAGAAAGTGAGGTGCTGCAGCAGAATCCAGAGGCCACAAGGGATGGCAGGAGTCTTCAGACAGAAGGAAACTTTCTGGTGGGAAAGGATGCCTCCAGATTTGTTGGCAAAGTTACACTTGTCAACGCACGAAGCCAGAGGAGCGAACAGATAGAGGTCACTGATATAGGATGGTGGGTGCCACCAGGCAGTTATCAGGGTGGTGAAAGGACTTAGTAGCACTTGCTCAAACAGGGCATAGCCAAGAAGCTGTCCTAACCATATACTTGAGTTGTCTCTGATTTTAAACTGTAACCTGTTGCTTCTGTAACAACGTCCATAACTGTGAGTATTGTCTGTGAGTTCTTTGTGGCCACTGTAACACATCACCAAAGCGAGCAGAGGAGAATGTCACGAGAGGGACAGCTGGCGGCAACATTTGTGAAGAGGCTGGAGAGAGTAGAAAAGTTTGACTTCCATCTTATAGGAACAGCCTTGGAATGTCAGTACTGCTGCTGATTCTTTTCCCCACCTTGTGAAGTTAGATCAGGTGATCTGACACTCTTCTGTTCCATTTGTACAGACCTCCTCTTCCAGCCTTTCCTTGAATAACCATCACTCCCATTCTTCATGGTCTCTCTGCCCCATCTGGACTTCCTTTGCTGCCCAGCTCAGCTCTGAGCTCCAGGTCTGTGGATGTGCGTGATCAGCTGCACCCCTGAGAACATGCACCCTCTTCCCAGGGACATAAGCTGAGCCCCTTGACCATGACCTGTGAGAGACCTTCTGTCATTTCCAGGAGGCCAGCAGGAAGGCACAGTCTGAGCCCATTACTCAACCCTCCTGACACCAACACATCCTGGACAGGGTCAGGAAATACTTGGCCCTGGGACACAGAGGCCCCAGAGCATGTAACTCACCCCCTTTCCTTCTCCGAATTGAGGCTTGGAATTAAGAAACAGAGCAAAGGGGGTAAGAGGTAGCTTCATACCTGGCACCCAAGCCACATTCCCAATGCCCACAACTCCCACCTCATCAGCAACCAAGACCAGATTCCTATATCAAACTGGATGGGCATATCTACTGAAATGCTAAGTCATTACACATTTCCAAGCTCACAGAAGACCCCTAAGCAAGGACATAAATGTGCACATGTGCATACACACACATATATGCACACACACAAAGAATATATGCCCTTAAGCATACACACACATGCAACTCACACACGTATGCATGTGCTCATGCATGCATGTGCACATATGAATATTCACACACAGGCACATATGCATGCATTCACCCACACAGGAAACTACGCACACGTGTACAATTCTCTCACAGGTAAATCTTCACTTTAGTTTAAATGTTTATTCAGAAAAGAGAGAAAACCCTATAAAGGCCAATACAGAGGCAACTGCTGCCTGGGATGGCCACCAGATCTCTGCAAGCACGCTCAACAAGGCAACCATGCATGAGTGGCCAAGAGATCATTCCAAAACTGAGGCCACTTACAGGACCCCACCATGGGTATGGCACCTGCCTGATTAGCTCTTCTCTATTCTCACCCCAAAGGGGAAAGGACCCAAGAAATCATGTATATTGAGATAAAGGTGTCACCTGCAAGCCTCCAGGACAGCAGCAGCCTGGACAAGCCAGGTCCCTCCCTGGCCAGGGTGTCTACTGTGTTCTGTGACCCCACCATGTTCCTGGCTCAAGCTGAACAGATGGAGACCAGGGGATCCTCTACCTGTAGGGACAGGTGAGCTACCTTCCTATCCTTCTGCCATTTGTCTGAAAAGAAGGGTCCCCACCTACCCCTTTCTCTCATCTTCAACTCAACCTTCCCTCTTCTGCTAACACCATCTTCCCACTAGGAGGCTCTCCACATCCTCTGAGCATGGTCACTCTGGAATGCACCTGCACCCTTGCCACCTGTTCTTTCATTTCACACTTCCTTCCTTTCTAGGTGTCTAGTATCCTTTAAGAGACAGTGGGAATCCTGGCAATAACTTCAGTTCAACATTACAACTCTTAGGACTGAACTGTTTGTGTTAGGAGCAAACCACCAGGTCACCTCTCTGTTGTCTAAAAACACAATCATCTGGACTGTGGGCTGATTCCTGAGTAACTGGGAAAATCATGACAACGGCTTGGCCTTCCCCACATGAGGTTTCCAGGACTAGTTGCAAGGCCAGTAGGTGGGGCTGGCTGCCCAGGATATCTGCCCTCTAGGGCTGGCCAGCCCTCCGAACAAGGCAATAGAAGAGCCCAGGTCTACGCTGTGGACAGAAGCCCTGGGAAATGCAGTAAAAATTAAGACATGAAGCTACAATCATGCCTTCCTGGAAGACAAGTCCACAGCGCAGCTGAGAGCAGTAATGTCATGAGGCCAGCAGGGCAGGAGAGGGTGCAAGCTGAAGCTGCGGTTAAGGGAGAGAAGGGAAACTGCTTCAATACATGAGTGTTGGTACTTCATGCAAACAAAGCTCAAGAACAGAAAGGAATTCTGTTCCCATGAGGGAGAGTCTGACCCCAGGATTATGAATCTAAGGGCTCAAGCCCCTCTCTATGCAGTCAGGAAGATCCTTTCTGAGACTCATACAGCTATGGAATTCTAAATGAACAGTTATTTTGCTCAAGTCTTTGGAAGTAGTATACCATCATCTTTTGGCATCTATTGTTGCCAAGTAGAAGTCAGCTGTCAGTGTAACCATCATTTTGCCATTTCTGCAGTTGTGGCAAGCCATGTTAATTAAATTCTTAGTCATTAACTCTTCAAATATTGCCTCTTCTCCATTCATTTTAATCTTTACCTCTAGAAATTAAAGTGTAGTCTGTCTAAAAAGTAAGTGGACTTTAGGCTACAAATCATTTTGAGAGTCAGAGTTCCTTTTGTAAATGTGGGAAGAGCTAAGTCTGGGACTAGGGTCGAGCTCACATGACAGAAGGCAAAAATGCTGTTAAAAGTCACACATCAGGAAATGTCAATGAAAACAAAGTCAACAGTGACATTCGTTATCAGGGCACATTCACACAACACTGTTCATGGTTATATATGTTAAGACATGTCCATGAGGATCCTGTTCAGAGTCATATATGTTGGGATTGTCCATAAGTCTCTTAAGCATTACATGCCAGCACATGCCTATAATAATATTGTTAATCATCATGTACATCAGGATTGCTGTTATCACATGTGTCAAAAATCAGCCATGATAATGCTAATGGTCATATATGTCAGAACAAGTCCATGATGAGGCTAATTAACCCTCACATATTCAAGACATGTCATCATAATATAGTTGATAATCACACTATCAAGACATGTCCACAATATGTCATAGACAGTTACATAGTCTGCACATATTCATGCTGATGATACCCCTGCCACATCCTTGATGACAAATCATGTATGTCAACACAAGCGAATGCACAATAGTAACACTCCTGTACATTAACACGCATCCATCATGAAAACACTCCTGTACATCGACACACGTCCATCATGATAACACTCCCGTACGTCGACACACATCCATCATGGTAACACTCCTGTCCTTCAACATGCATCCATCATAACACTCCCGCACGTCAACACGCATCCATCATGATAACAGCCCTGGATATCGACACACAACCATGATGTTAACACTCCTGCACGTCGACACGCATCCCGACATGCATCCATCATGGTAACACTCCTGTACGTCGACACACATCCATCATGATAACACTCCCGTACACTGACACCCATCTGTGATGGTAGTACTTCTGTATGTCAGCACGCATCCATAATTTTAACATTGCTGCACATCAGCACACAGCCATGATAACACTCCTGTACTTCGACACACATCCATCATGGTAACACTCCCGTACACTGATACCCATCCGTGATGGTAGTACTTCTGTATGTCAGCACGCATCCATAATTTTAACATTGCTGCACATCAGCACACAGCCATGATAACACTCCTGCACATCAACACACATCCATTATGTTAACACTCACATGTCAGCACACATTCATGATAGTAACACTCCTACACGTCGGCACACATCCATCATGGTAACACTCACATACGTCGACACACATCCATCACAGTAACACTCACGTACATCGGCACACATCCAGGATGGTAACACCCATGCACTTCAGCACACGTCCATGATAACACTCGTGTACATCAACACACATCCATGATGGTAACACTCATGTATATCAGGATACATTCATGTTGTTAACGGTCACACATATTCATGACACCTCTAAGACCACTATGAGCATATACGTCAAGACAGGAACATGTACATAATGATGTTAACAGTCACATATATCATGTCTCTTCCGTGAAAATGCAGTTGAAAATCATTTCTGTCAGGACATGTCTATGATGGTATGAACTGCCACATGTGTCAGACCACTTCCATAAGGTTATTAATTATCATCTATGTCAAGACATTGCCCACAAGACCTTTCGTATCATGCGTATCTGAACACACTCATGAAACCTGCCATCCTCATGCTCACCTCCCAGAGCCTGTGGACCCTCAACAAGGAACACTGTTCGATGTGCACTGGTCTGTGAGGTCAGTGGCTTAGTGCCATTACTCTACCTTGTTGATAAGCAAACGTGTACAAAGAGGGCAAAGCAAGTGCAGAAGTTGTGAGGTGAGCACCGAGCAGAGCCAAGGCTTTCCTCACTCAGGATCTGCCTTCCCTCAACCAGAAGTGAAGCAGGAGTAAGCCAGAGCGTGACGTGGAGAGCAACGGGATACACACAAACACACAGAGGCACACACATGCATATAAACGTGTGCACGCAGCACACACACACACACATGTCAGCGCATAAGTCACGTGGGCCCATGATGAGGCTATTAACTGTCACATGTCAGGGCATGCCACGTGTACGCTCACACACCCAAACACGTACACACACACGCGTGCATGCACACATGCTTGCACACAGGAAACCTACCTTGGGACCTAAGCCTTATTTCCTGAACACACCTGTTCAGGTTTCCCCTTGGCCTGCCCCAGCACTGTGCCAAAGCCCCACTCCACAGGCACCAGTCTCCCCATCACAGTGGTGGGCCATGCACGTAGACACTCCGAGCCTCCCTAAGTCTGTCCGCATGCCCATCCCTCCATCTGCACCTGACGGCCCATTCCGCTGTATCTACCCATCTGCCCCGCACGCCACTCACCAAGCTCTTCCAGTTCAGCTGTCATAGACTTGGAGCGGAGGGTCAATGTGGTACTGGGGGCCCTCTTGGGGGGAGGTGGGGCTGCAAAGAAGAGGGAGGCTTTGGGCCTCCGGTCCAACAGCAGGCGCCGTGGGGTGGCCAAGTGCAGGTGCCACCTGCGCTCAACCGCCTGGACCTCCTCGTACTCGCGCGAGGAGGAGTCACACTGGGCGAGGATCTTGTTGAGGCTGCGGCTGGATGCAAACTTCTTCATGGCGTGGGCTCAGGGCCCCGGACTGGGGCCTAGAGGGTGGTCAAGGACCTTTGTGGGGGTCACCACGTCTGGCTCTGGCCTGAGTACTTGCCCTGCAGGTTCCCAGCGCTGGGCCAGGGGGCACCAGAGCCATGGAGTGGGGGCTGGGAGGGGTCTCCCTAGAGGCCTGGCTTCCACTGTCCCCTGAGCACCCCTGGACACAGGTGGCCTCCACCCTCCTGAGAGATGAGGGTGGGGCTCAAGGCAGCTGCAGGGCCTAGGCTAGGGAGGGCCAATGATCCTCTTGGGCAGGGCTGCGGCCGCCACGGCGCCGCTAGAAGACGCTTTTCCTCTTCCCTTCAGGTGCCGCCTCCCCCTTCCCTCCGACAATAAGGCGGCAGCAGCGTCAACCTCACGGTTGCCATGGCAACCCCGGCCTCCAGGCAGCTGCTGTGGTGTCGGAAGGAGGGCGTCCACCAAACCAGGGGCTGCTGCGGGAGCCAGGAGGGGGGTAGGAACCCAGGGCAGGACAAGGAGCCCAGAAGGGGAACCTGGGGTAGGAGAAGGAGGCTGGGCAGGACAAGGGGTCAGAGGTAGGATAGGGGGCTTAGAGCAGGACGGGAGACCAGAGCAGGCTGGAGGTTTCTGGGGCAGAATGTGGAGGCTGGGGCAGGACAGGCGAGCCAGGGCAGGCCTGAGGTTCCTGGGACAGGACGGCAACCAGGGTATGATGAGAAGGCTGGGGCAGGACAGGTAGGTGAGGGTGCAGGGCAGAACAGGGCCCAGGGTAGGATGGGGGGCTGGGGCAGGACAGGGAAGACTAGAGCAGGACAGGGAGTCCTAGGGTAGGACTGGGGGCCAGGAGCAAGATGGAGAGACCGGGACAGTCTGGAAGTGCCAGGGCAGGCAGGGATTCCAGGGAAGGACGAGGAGCCTGGGCCAATACAGGAGAGCCTAGGATGGAGGTCCCAGGCAGGATGGGGAGTTGGAGCAGGACAGAAGAGCCCAGAGGATTCTGAGGGGTGAGGCAGGGTTTCCAGGGGTAAGAAAGGCCCAAGGAAGGGTCGGAGTCAGGGGTCAGAGGCTGGAGGGTCCAGTCCAACTTCAGTGAGGGGGCCAGACGGGGCTGGAATCTGGACTGGGGATCTGACTCGTGTGGTGGGGCTGAGGAGAGGAACAAGCCAAAGTGGCATGAGCCCCCACCTCACCTCGGCGGCGAGCTCCATCTTCTTCAGGCTTGCGGGTCACTGACACGACCTTCATGACCAGCCGGTTACCACCCTGCCGGATCAGGGCCACCACCTGCTTGTGTCCAACCTTCACCACATTCACACCATTCACCTGCAGACATACAGGCTGCTTTGCCCTCTGGCCAAAGCTGGAGTGGGGGTCAGGGTTGAAGGTCAGGACCAAAGCTGGGACTTGAGGGGGACCTCAACACTGGGACCTTAGTGTTGAGGTCAGAGTCATGACCAAGTCAGTACTGGTGGGGTTGGGGTTAGGACCAAGGTCAAGGCTGGAACTGGGACTATGTCCAGGATAGGGTCAAAACCAGTCGGGGTAAGCGTGAGTCAGAGCCAGGCCAGTGTTTCTCCTAGGTCATGGATCCAGGTAACAGGGTGTCTCAGGGCTGGGGGCAGGACTGGGTCAGGGTTGGGGGTACTGAGTCATAAGACAAGGACCAGGCTGTGGGGGGCGAGTCAGGAACAGGGATGAAAATGGGGCTGGGTCACCTGGAGGAGCAGGGAGTGGTGCAGAACGTGACGGAGGAGTGGTGTAGGTGGGGGTGGGACAGGTCATAAGGTGCCAGTGGCGTTCAGTGGGGTTCAGGGCTGGGAAGGACTTGTGTCAAAGGAGAGGACATTTGGGGTTGGGGCCTGGTCGCCATGGGCCAGCCTGCAGAGCGGGCCTCACCTCAATGAGGAAGTCGCCAGTGCGTAGCCCCGCCCTCCAGGCCACGCCCTCCACATCCACAGACTCCAGGTACTGCAGTGCTGGGAAGGCAGGTGTGGGCGTGAACTCCTCAATGGGGGTCTCAGCTGCAAAGACAGAGGCTCAGCGGGGGGCGGGGGGGGCCCCAAGCAGGAAGACTAGCATCCTAGCTTGTACTCTCTCCTCTTCGAACTCGTGTGATGAACCCCCTAACTCCTCCACAGCAAACCACAGTTACACACAAGAGGTACAACCTAGGCTGGGGTAGATGCGAACCCAACCCAGTCACCACCTCAGCAGAGAGCTGGAGGGGTCGGGAAAGAGGGACACTGGTGAAAGCCAGGATGCCTGAGAGGGCACAGCCCTGTGCAACCCCTGCCCCGCAGAGTGGCCCCCCAGCTCTCTGATTTCATACCTACACACACACCCAAACCTCACCCAACACTTCGGCCTCACTGCTCCACACCCCTCAACTCAGTACCCTGACCTCATCCCTCCACGGGGACCCTTTCCCCTGACCTCACTACTCCACGGGGACCCTAACCCCTGACCTCACTGGGGACTCTTGTCCCTGACCTCACCCCTCCACGGGGGCCCTTCCTCCTGACCTCACCCTTCCATGAGGACCCTGCCCCCTGACCTCACCCCCTCCACGGGGACCCTGCCCCCTGACCTCACCCCTCCACGGGGACCCTAACCCCTGACCTCATTCCTCCATGGGGACCCTTCCCCCTGACCTCACCCCTCCACGGGGACCCTTTCCCCTGACCACTGCTCCACAGGAATGCTTCCCCCTGACCTCACTCCTCCACAGGACCCCTCCCACCGCACCCCTCCACGCTGGCCCCGCCCTCTTACCACACCCCTCCACACTGGCCCCGCCCAGCACCTTTGGCCCCACGAAGCACAAAGCCAAAGCCCTCGTGATCCCGTTTCTGCAGCACAGCCACTTTGTCCTCGATGATGTAATCACTGGAGCAAGAGGAGAGAGGGTTGGAGGAACAAGCTGACCCTTAGGGGCATCTAGAGAGCCCCCACTCCCCTTGCCTTCTGACCTCTGCATCCAACCTCATGGATTACCTCTCAACCAGCCAGTGTCCCTCCCTCCCATCCACATGCTCCTAGCACCACCAGGTTGTGTGCACTCGAATCCATCGAGTGCCCACTCACCCATCCAGTGCCCAGCAGTGTCCAGCTGTGTGCATACTTCCACCCATCAAATGCCCCTCCACATGCCCCAGCAGTGCCCAGCTGTGTGCATACCCCACCCATCAAATGCCCCTCCACATGCCCCAGCAGTGCCCGGCTATGTGCACGTCCTGTCCACCATACCTGTGGGAGGTGAGGCTGTCGTAGGAGCCCACCGTGTAGTGGCGGAAAAGTCTCTTGGTACGATCCTCTCGAGTTTCTGAAGGGAGTTTCAGCAGCTGATGGGGGGTCATGTCTTGCAACTGGACTGACTGTCCCCAACCATGCCAGCAACCATCCTGTCCATGCACACCCATCCATGCCCAGATAATCCAAGCCCAGAGGGTCCTGGAGCCCAGAGGGACCTGCAGGAATCCTGGGAACTGTGTGTCCTCACGTCTGTGTCTGTGATTCACACTCTTGAATAAAGCCTGTGTTTGTGTGTGTGCACATGCATTTGCATACATGTACCGGTCCTTGATCCAAAGTTGTGCATAAAACTGTGCTCATGTGATATAGCTGTGTATGACACATGCTCATGTGCGTGCATCTCTAACCCACAAGGGCATGCTCACATGTGTATATATCACTGTATGTCCATGACACTGCTGTGCAGGAGAGATGAGCTCATAGGTGTGCAAGCATCTATGTTTGTGATCCTGAGTTCTTAGGTGTGCATCCATCCTGCTATGTACAAAGGGTGTGTGTGGGGGTCTTTGTGCATGCACACATCCATGTCTTGGCTGTGGCCTCCAGGCATGTATAAGTGCTGTGCTCACTTATATCTCCTGAGTGTGTAGGTGCTACACTTGTGTAGGTATCTATGACTGTAAGTGTGTGCTGTCTCTATGATGCACAGCTGTGTGCAAGGGCCGTGCATGTGTTTCTACATCTGTCTGTAACACACAGTGGTGTATAAGTGTCATGTGGTGGACAGTTGTTTATAGGGGTTGTGCTCATGTGTGCATGCCTGCATGTGTCTGTGTTGCACAACCACATGTGAGGGTCATGCTTGTGTATGTGTGTGTGTGTGTCTAGGGTGCACAGCTGCATGGAAGGACTGTGTGCGTGTGTTTGTGTGTCTATGGCTCACAGCTACGTGTAAGGGGGGGTGTCAATGGCGCACAGTGGCATGTAAGGGGTGTGTATGCGTGTGTGTGTCTATGGTGCACGGTTGCATGTAAGAGGGGGCTGTGTGTGTCAGTAGCACACAGCTACATGTAAGGGGGGGTGTGTGTGTACATATGTGTGTCCATGGCACACAGCTGCATGTGAGGGTTGTGCGTGTGTGTGTCTATGGTGCACAGCTGCATGTAAGTGGTGTGTGTGTGTCTATGGTGCACAGGTGCATGTAAGGGGGTGTGTGTGCGTGTGTGTGTGTGTCTATGGTGCACAGCTGCATGTAAGTGGGGTGTGTGCGTGTGTGTCTATGGCGCACAGCTGCACATAAGGGTTATGTACGCGTGCTTGTGTATGTCTATGGCACACAGGTGTGATTAAGAGTTGTGCTCGTGCGTGTCTGTGTGTATGTCTCCATGGCTCTATCATGTGATGATGTAAAGTGCCATGCTGTGTTCCCACAGCCACTGGTGTGCAGCAGCCTCCAGTTGTCACAGAAGCCCTCATCGCCACACTCCCTTGTCCTCAGTCTCAAGGGTCCTTTGCTCCTGCATCTGAATGGGGCTACAAGTCTAGATGGCAGCCCCCCCAGGGGACTTCCCCAAACTGTCCTCTTCCTATAGCATATGACAATCTCTCCCCTGGCTTCAGGAGCTCTGCAGCTACAATGTACAACTCACACTCCAGCCACCAGCCTCCCTGCTGCATGGCCACCCCTCCAGACACAAGGATTCTCCTGCTGTGCCAAGAGAACTTCTGGCTCCCCAGAACACAGAGCCCACCAGGCTTCACTCGCCACACCTGCACCCCCAGCATGGACCCCAGCTCCTCCTCCTCCTCAGTCATCAGCAGGTCTCAAGATCCCTCTACTCGTTCAACAGGTTCTTAGGGCTCCTGCTGTGTCCAAGCCCTGTTGGCATTCAGTTGTGGGAATATAGCAAAGATCTCTGTTCTCATGGGGTTTATCCACTATCTGGTGAGAGAACGAACTGAAAACAACAAAAAGTCGTATCAAGTCTAACAGAAAATGCTGACAGGGCTCTAGGAAAACAAGAGAAAAGGGTTACAGCAAGTGTCTATCCATAGTCAGAGTGGAGCCAGGGTCCCAAAGGGTCACTTGGAGAAGAGCAAGGCATGCACCTGAGGCCAGATGGAAGGACTTCCCGGGAGGGGCCCCCATGGCCAAGTCCAGAGAGTCCTGCACTGTCCAGGAGGCAGTGAAAAGCATGTGGGCTCAGGCCAAGGAAGTAAGAAAGGGCAGTGGGAAGCACCTGGGGGCACTACGGGGTCTGGCATCCTGCCTCTCCCATGAGAGCAAGGACCACAGGGTCTGGTACCTTGCAAGGACCATGGAGTCTGACACCCTGCCTCTCCCATGACTGTAAGGACCGGGGTCTGATACCCTGTCTCAAAGACCACAGGGACTGGTATCCTGTAAAGACCAGGGTCTGGTGCCCTGCCTCTCCCATGACAGTGAGGACCACGGGGTCTGGTGCCCTGCCTCTCCCATGACTGGAAGGATCAGGTTCTGGTGCCCTGCCTCTCCCATGGCAGTGAGGACCATGGGGTCTGGTGCCCTGTAAGGACCACGGGGTCTGGTGCCCTGCCTCTCCCATGACTGGAAGGACCACGGCGTCAGGTGCCCTGCCTCTCCCATGGCAGTGAGGACCACGGGGTCTGGTGCCCTGCCTCTCCCAAGACTGGAAGCCTCTTGAAGGTAAAGACCATGCCTCATCTATCTCTGCGATGCTCACAACACAGGATCTGATGCACAATAGGCACTCAAGATGCTGGCTAAATGGACAGACAGGCAGACAAATGGATAGGTGAGCAAACACTATCGCATACACAATCCTGCAGTGATGATGATGATAGTCCTGACTAGATACACAGGTAACATGCAAGCAGAACAGATGTAGGACGGTGAGTCCACCACAAAGACATACAGGCTTGGTGGCGGAGGTGTTCAAGGTACATGATGAACTGCAAACATATCTGAGGGGCCTGCCGAGCAGACCATGGGCGAAGACCTGGATGGACACTTCTTAGCCATAACCAAGCACCCAGTGGGAATGCATCACTAGCGGTTGAGAACATAGGATCACACTGCCGGGGATAGCTAGGTCATTTGGCATAAGATAGCCCACAAAAACAATGTCTTTCATCCTACTTCGATGAGAAGCAAGCAGGGTTTTAAAAGTTTATGAGTAGCCATCTAAGATGCAACTATTGGTCTCTCCCTATCAAGAGCAAAGAAGAGTGAAGACTAACAAAGACACAAATAATTAATCCAAACTCCTTTAAACCCAAGGAGAAAGAGGAAGACCGTCAACAAGATGGACTGATGACACAGTGGTTATAACAATGGGTTCACACATACGACAAGTGACGAGGACGGGGGACACTGGACAGGGAGGACACAGGACAGGAGGGCACAGGACACGGAGGGCACAGGACAGGGGGGCACAGGATGGCAGGCGCTGGACGGGGGGTACAGGACAGGGAGGACACAGGACAGGGAGGACACAGGACAGGAGGACACAGGACAGGAGAGCACAGGACACGGAGGACAAAGGACAGGGGGCACAGGACAGAGAGGACACAGGATGGGGAGCAGAGGACACGGAGGACACAGGACAGAGAGGGCACAGGCAGAACAGGGGGCACAGGACAGGGAGGACACAGGACGGGGGGCACAGGACACGGAGGACACAGGACAGGGGACACAGGATAGGGAGGCACAGGACGGGGGACACAGGACACGGAGGACACAGGACAGGGGACACAGGATAGGGAGGACACAGGACGGGGGGCACAGGACAGGGGGCACAGGACACGGAGGACACAGGACAGGAGGGCACAGGACAGGGAGGACACAGGACAGGGGGACACAGGACAGGGGGGCACAGGCAGATCTGTTGTTCATTGAGTCATTATGGGTCATGGTCGACCTGACAGAACCCAACAACAACAACATTTAAACTTCCTGCCATCAACTCTATTAGAACGCACTGTGACTCTGCACTGGGTTTCCAAGACCTTAACTATAACAGGAGGAGACTGCCCATCTTTCTCCATGGAGCTGCTGTCGGACTCTAGCTGCTGGAGACATGGGACCTTTTTGTTGACAGTGCAGCTGGCTACACACACAAGCCACCAGAACTCCAAATCAGTCCAAAGGACTAAGGGTTCACAGGTACCGTGGCCTCCAGGTCCTGAGACCAGAACTAGGCTGCCTAGTTCTGCTCTTGACCACCACTACCAACTGTTCTGGTCACAAGAGAAGATCCTGAACAGAAAAGGAGAAAGGAAACCTAGAACAAAACTCAAAATCATAAAAAAAAAAACAACAACAGACTTACTGGTATAATAAATATTGTGGGACCCCTGCGACTGACCCCTGAGCATCTTTTAACCCCGGGAATGAACCTTCCCTGGGAAGAACTTTTATCCAGACAAGAGACGGGTTACAAGTGAGTCCGAACAACCCCTGAGTACAATCAGCCATGTGGGCCCAAAGGGTACCACATGCTCCAAAACAAAGTTCAGACAGCAGGAGGGGGTAGGAATGGGGAAACAGGAACCCCGAGGGAGGGGAGCAGAACCCAGTTATACGAGAGGGAAGAGCCAGGGCCACAAGCAAGGGTCATCAGTAGTTGAGTGAAAACCTAATTTGGTCTGTAAACTTTCACCCCAACCCAATAAAAAAAGAGATAGGTATGGATGTGTGGGTGAGTAGGGGAAGGAGCAGATGGACCTATGATGGGTGGAAATAATAAACGGATGGTTCCATAGCAGGTCAATGTACACGTGGAAGAGGGTCACAGGATAAATAGGCACATGGATGAAGTGTGAGGTGGTGCCCTGATTCAAGAGACGGTAGATGGAGAGGAATGGATGGGTGGACAGGACGAGGATGGGTGGACAGAGGGGTTGATGAGTGAGTAGATGGATGACTAAAAAGTAGGTGAGTTAAGGATAGATGGAGGGGGATGGGAGCAAGTAGTCAGATGGAAGAAAGGGTGGACTCCTCCCAACGTCGGAACCATGAGTGCCAGGAGGACTGACTGCACCCAAGGGCCCACCACCAGCACTTCCACCCTCAAAGGTCCCTGTGCCCTGGGCCTCTCCTTCACAGCCAGAGAAAACCTGTCATGGTAGCCCGAGTCCTGACACTGGCCTTATCCTATCTTGACCCTCAAGCACATGTCTCGTCCTCACACACACATACACACCATGGTAGCCCTGTGTGCCTGGCCCTGCCCGCTGAGCCCACACCAGTGCCACTCAGGGCACATCACCAGGTGAACGTCAGACCTTAGCCCCACCTGAGCACATCACCAGGTGAACGTCAGACCCTAGCCTCACCTGAACAAGGGCGTATGCGGTACCTGCAGCTGTTCACTAGCCTCACAGCTTTAAATCCTATCGACCAAACAAATCATATTTATTACATAACACAATCCACTTTCTAGTTTAGTTCATCAGACACCCAAGAGCCAGCTGAAACAAACACACTGGCATTGCCTCTCCAGGTGACGGTCAGCCACGCTGGGAAAAGAGAGGCAGATTGGGCATGGTGGCATCCTGTCCACATCAGCAGGCAACTGGAGGGCAATGGGCAGAACTGCCTTAAACTCTCATGGTCTCACCGTTCCCATTCCATCAGCTCCACATCAGCACGTGGCAGGGCTGCAGGCAGGACCACTCCTTGACTCCCAGACTGTCCCTGTCCCCACTTCTGCTCCAGAATTGCATCTGGGCCTGTTTGAAGCAGGTCCTGCCCCAGAGCTGCCCTCTGCCTCTGGTAAAACCCTCTGGAACCCTGGGTAGGAGGATGTGAGCAGTGAACTTGGCCAAGGGAGCACAAAGCTTGCTCTCCCACCTCCAAGAGCCCCCGCCCGTCCAAGCACTTTCCCATCAGGCACTGCTGTGGCTCCCCTGGGTAGCACCTCCCTGCCCGAACTCCATTCACCACCTTCCACGGACTGTGCGTCCTCCTAACCTTGGACACACTGCCCTGCTTGATGCCCCAGTGGAAGAGTATCCTCACCGCACACAGACCCCTTGAGCCCCACCCAGGAGGGCCGGTGCTACATATGCAAGAACGTGGAGGCCCCTCTGAGCCAGACCATGGCCTCAGCCCTCAGCGCTTCTACCTCCAGACCTCCTGAAAACAACCAACAAGCTTGCCTAAGAGGATCAATGGGAGGAGTCAGTCACTGGCCCCATCAAGAGGCCTAGAGGGTCCCAGCACCTGGAGCAGTCAGATACCAGGGCCAGGGTCATGTCCCCACCTGTGGGCCACCTAGTATGTCCTGGAACCTCCTCTGATTCCCTCCCACCAACACAGGACCCTGCCAGACAGACGCACACACATCAAGTCCAACACTAACCCCCACACACATGCACATCAATATGCATGTTTTCACGTGCCCATCACACACATCTCCACACATACATGTCTACATACACACCCCCACACATCTCATATGTGCCCACACACATGCACACATCAAACACACCTACCCATGCACAGGCAGCCAGACACAGCAATGCACAAACATGTTCACACACACAAGCATCCACACAGCCATCCACGTGGACTGTCCCTTCACATGCTCCCAAATGCACACACACAGACCTACAAGTGTGACCCCGTGCATATATGCACGTGGGTGCTCATGTGCATACTAATGTACTCACAGATCCACACGTGTGCCCACACACACGTCCACAGGCACCCATCCACGTACACATATTTATACCCTGTCATGACACTCAGCTGGAACCAAGAGAAGCTGCTTTCATGGTAAATGCTTAATACAACCCCCACCACACGTCTATCTACAACATGCCACAATACAGGCTGCAGACATGCTATATACTTCACACACAACATGAACACGTCTAGACACACATGTACAGTACACACACGCCTCACACTAGTGCTATCAATGGCCACACTCAAGCAGAATCTCTTTGTCCACCAGGTCACAGAAAGAATGACCACCGTCGAAGACCTTGAGCATTCACAGCAGGGCTGGGCCCCGGGCAGAGAGAAGGTTCAGGCCTAGGAGCTCAGCAGAAGCAGCCTCACCCTCCACCAGCAAGAACACCAGAGATGCACACAGACACCCACGGGCAGGACTGAGCTCTCTGAGCTGACTGTGGCCTGTGCATGTCCTGTCCCTTACCTGCTGCCCCATTTCAGCCTCCTGGCTCTGGGCATCCAGGATGGCCCCTCTGGCTCTAACTGGCCTTATTTCCTCTTGGCTGGTCCTGGCCTCCCTGCTCTGCCCACTCTGACAATCTGTGCACCTTGGACGGACGCCTCTTTCCTCACAGTGACCTCCTTTACTTGCCCTCCAGCCAGGTAGGAGTCATTTTTCCAAGTACCCTTTGTGTATGGACTGTGGAGAGCCAGCTCAAGGCCAAGGGACTTGTGTGCATGACCACTCAGCTGTGTTCTCATGTGAGTGTACATCTGCACATATGTCCTGCACCTGTGTCTTCCTTTATGGAACACATAAGTTTCCTGCATGTGTGCCCGTTACCCACACAGTGCCCATGAGCCTTTGCAGAGGCACACGGCACAGGGTGTCTGTACAGGACAAGAGTTTGAGTGTACTTTAAAATGTGTCTGCATGTACTCTGGTCTCTTCTAGGTGGACACCATGTGGTCTGAACTCCAAGTGAGGCCAAAGGGCCCTGGGAAGGAATGTGCCCTCAGGACCCTGGGCAGAGTCACTCACCATGCCTTGTGTCGTACTGTCTCATCTGCACCTCCTCCACGCAGTCAGCCGGGAACCAGCCTGTGCGGCCTTTCACGGTCCCCTCCCAGAAACCGCCCTCCCCGATGCTGAGCACTGGAGGGACAGAGCCAGAACAGGCCATTAGGGCACAGAGAACTAGCCCCACTCCTGCCCCCACTCCTCCTGAACCCCTTCCCCAGTCCCTGACTCCCATCTCGAGCCCCCAGTCCTCCAGCCCCTACTCTGGGCCTCCATGTAGTTCACTCTTCCTAGGGTCCTCTTCTTGAGTCCCTAGTCCTCTGATTCCCCTCACTGGGCCTCCACCTCCCTACCCCCATCTTTGGGCCCCCAAACATCCAGACATCCCTCTCCCCGAGGCCCCCACTCCTCCAGCCCCCTCCCTGGGCCCTAGTCCCTAAACCAGGTACCCTCCTCCCCTCACCCTCTTTCTCATCTGTTCCTCGCCCTTCCCAGTCCCTCCCTAGGAGGACTTGGGGATCAACACAGATACAAGGAGGAAACAGATGGGCATGGCATAGGACAGGCATGTGGGGGACAGAGAGCTACAGATGGACAGACTCGGGAGACAGGAGGACATGGAGGATGGGAACCACATCCACTCCTGTCCCACCGCACAGCCTGCTCTCCACCCACCTCATGAGCCAAGACTCATCCTTGCCTGCCCAGGGGGGGGTCACTGTGCCGTGTCCAGTGGATCAGGCCACATGACAGATCAAGGAGGACCCGTCCTTACAACTGCTGCCTCCTTGGCTCCCACAAACAGAGGGCAGCCGGGAAGACAGGACCTCAACGGTGAGTGTGCCCCGCACTGAGAGGACCTGTCACGGCCCAGGATCTCCAGAACCCTCATACTACAGACAGCCCATCACTGTCACAGATGTGCCCCGACAATGAGACAAGCCTCATAAGGCACAGGGCTTCCACTAGAAAAACCCTAGAACGCAAGTGTGACCTCATGACACAAACACCCAGGGTGAGTGGGCTCTCCACCGTGACACAGAGACCCCTGGATGACAGAGGACCAAGAGCAACGCAAAGGCGCCGCAAGACAGACGCCCCTCCCTGCCTAGGGCCCTTCCCTGTGACACAGGGTTCCTGGGTCACATACACCCAGGAATAACCACCATGACCCAAGTCCCAAGGGATGCTCCGATAAGGGAGAGACCCCTGGCCTCACTGCGCGCCAGCAGCGTGCGCCCCTCCAGCCGCGCGGCCCCGCCCCCGCCGGCCCTCACCCTTCACGGCCTCGCCGCGGTGCAACGGGATCTCGCCTTCGCCCTGCGGGGTGTGCGCCTTCACCGCGATGAACTTGCGGCCGGGGACGGCGCTGTAAAG